ACTATTATGTTGGGATGACAATGAAATGTCCTCAGCAGAGTTTTTTCCTTATATGTATCTTGTTCAAATTGTCCACTTTGAATGGATGGCATGGGATATGGATGGGATATGACCATCCAGAGTAGGATGGGGTCCCTCAGAATCTGAGAAGCAGGTAACCTCCGTTATCTATCTTAGGGTTCCCCAGGGTCAGACTGCTATGGTGTGGTGGTGGGGGCTGGGAATGGCTGGCATTGGGAGCATGTGTGCAGAGAATGTGTCAGTTAGCGCTTGACAGCCGGGTCTCAAGCCAGCCCGTCTTGATTCAACTTTCAGGTTTGTCATTTACTGGTTGCGTAGACCTGGCTCTCAGCTTCCTTCTGTGCAAAGTGGCCGTAACAATGAATTGTCCCTCCCCGCCTTGTGTGAGGACTGACTCAGGTAGGACATGTAAAGGGCTTTCGCACTACTCCTGGCACACCTTAAGCACTTGTGACATGTTAAAGGCTTTTATTTAGTGAAGGGAGATTCCTTTTCTAATGTGTTTCTTTTTCTTCCTCATGACCTTGACCCCTTCCCTAGTCTACATTTCTGAAGCCAATTGCTCCAAAGTCCCCTCCTTTTCTGGTTGTGGATGCAAAGGAAAAAACAGCTTGCACAAAAGCATATTTTTTTTTCCATATAGCTTACAGCCTCACTGCAAACCAAGATTCCACAGTTCGTTTTAATCTAAGAGCTAAGGGCCCTTTAAATCAGCCATTCCTTATTTATTCTGTTTAAAAAAAAAAAATCAAGGTCCTTTGGTTTCACATTCCTTTATTGTATTTTGTAAGGCAATGAGCACAAACTGGAGACTATGTTAATGTGAAATACTCTAACAATAGTAACTGAGACAGATGAGAAACTCAAGGAAGGGCAGTCACCATTTTGAATTTAGCTTTTATTGATGGGCTGAATGATGTGGAGACTCAGCGGCTCCAAGGCTAAAGAGCCCCTCGGGATTCAGGGGTCAAAGGTTTGAATAGCAATCAGAACAGCAGCTCTGGTGACCCCAGGATCTCAATTTCTCCGCCCCGCCTCCCCATACTTGATTTAATACCACTGGGCCACCTCCCAGAGCTCATAAGCCAGAGCTGTGATACTTGTTTGTACAGACTGTGTCTGATACAGGGCTTTACGTATAAGCTGTGGGGTAAGAGGCGTTGCCGAAGGAGCCTACGTTCTGCTCATCAGTCCAGGCACCCTGGAGTGGGCTGTGCCTACTGCAGAAAGGCCACTTCCAGTTTGCACCAAGGCACTAGATGGGCTAACAGCGGCCCTGTATGAAGCAACGTGACAGTGACAGGGTGCAGAGCTCAGCAAATAGGAAGGACACATTCATTCAACACACAGCCATTGAACACATACCATGTGCCAGACTCTGTCCTCGGGGGTTCAGTATATAGAGATGGATAGAAACAATTTCTGTGATTAGGTCCTCTCTTTCCTTTACCATTTCATCCTTCCCCACATTCACTCTATCAGCAAGTTCTTCTGATTCAACCTTCAAAATAACTGTCAGATCCACCCATTTTGTTTCACTGCCAGCACTTTGTTTCATTTTTCTTACCTAGACTACTGCAACAAATGAGCTCCCACTTCTATTCTGGTTCTACCAGCAGAAGCAAGAGTGATTGTATTAAAATGCGAATCAGATAATATCACCCCCTAGTTTAAAGTCTATGGTGTCTATAATTGAATTGAGTGCTCCTCATGGCCTCCAGGTTGAGCATACCTGGCCTAATTACTTCGTTATGTCATTTAGATCACTCAGCCCACACTCTCCATCTGTTTTAGTTCAGGTTCTTTAGAAAAATAGGAAGCCATCAGATGGATGTAGGTAATGTGTGCGTGTGTGTGTATGTGTGTATACACACATACATGCATGCACACATCCATCCCTATTGATATAGAGATACAAGTATATGTATAAATTTATAATTTATATGTATAAATATCAATGGGATGTATGGTGAGGAAGGAACTAGCTCATGGAGTCTAAGCAGTTTCACAATCTGCTCTGGAGACCTGGGAAAGCCGGTGGTGTAATTCTAGTCTGAGTCCAAAGACCTGATAACCAGGGGAGCCAATGGTGTAAATCCCAGTCCAGACACAGGAGAAGATCAATAGACCGAGGTCCCAGCTCAAACAGGCAGGCAAGAAGGGAATGAGTCCCCCTTCTTCTTTTAACATCCTCAGCAGACGCCTACCCATATTGGAGCAGGGGCAATCTACTTTACCAAGTCCCTGATTCAAACATGAACCTTACCTGAAAACATCTTAACAGACACATCCAGGAATAGTATTTAATCTGGCATCCTGTGGCCTCGTCATGTTGGCACAAAATTCGTCACCATACCAATCTCAGCAAAACGATTCTGTTTTTCAAACAGCCCAGCTCATTGTAGTCTCATCCCTTTGGCTAGAGTCCTCTTTCACTGAGTTCTCCCTTTGACTATCTTTTTCTCATCTTTCCGTGCTCAGCAGAAAACTCACCTCCTCAGAGAGGCTTTCCTGGGCCACCTGTTAAAATCATGTAGAATTCCAAGTCTGCCAGTTGTTGCCAGGTGTTTTATCACAAGATGGCACAGCTCAATTTCTAAGTATGCAGTTCTTTATTTTTTGGTCTTGTCTATTAGATTGAAAACTCCATAACAGTAGAGACCATGCTTATTCATTCTCTACTGTAAAACCCCTTTAACATCCTGCTAATCTCTGGTGCATAATAATAAATGCACAGAATAAATATCAATAAATATTTGCTAAACAAAGTTGTTGCAGGGAATTTATCTAAAGAGGAGTAATCACCACAATCCAATGTAGAGATGAGAAGTATGACAGAGATTGAGATGTGTTGGTAATTGACTCTCCAAAACAAAAGGCTTTGATTGGTCATTTGCTGGTAGTGTAAATACTTCCATCAGTGCTGACTTTAAGGTACTAAAATGGTTTAAAATTTGACTGGTAAATATTTAAGTTGGGTCTTCAAAGTTGGTGTGAGGTAGCTGTAGCATATCACTGGAAAAGAGATAAATATGGACGCAATGAATACCCAGGTTAAGAGAAGCATTTCATCCTAGGGGTTCTCAACATAGGCTTTCTGGAGGAGATGATATTTGATCTGTTGTTGCAGGATGATGTTTATGTTGGCTCAGGTCCTATAAGTCTACACTGCCTAATAAAGTCCTCTTCCCAGTTGCTCATATTCAACTGGTACCCTACTTAACACCCCTCTGCTTGTCTGGGAGTTTATCACATGACACAGTCCAATCCACAGAAAATCCTTCCATGTGGCTGGTGTTCTACTGGATTTGCTTTGTGTACAATAGAGGAGAATTAGGGTAGAAGTTAGTCAAGGGAGAAAGGGAAGTGTTTTCCAAACAGAGGGAGAGCTTATGCAAAGATAAGAGAGGAAGTGAGATAGAACAGTTTGGGTAAATCTAGATATGGGAGAGAGTAGGAGGAAGCTTACCCCTGACAGGCAGTGTTAGGCTAAGGAGCATAAGCTGATTCCCACCCTGGGCTGGGGCAGCTGACAGAGGAAAAGGGAAAGGGACTGATTGCTTTTCTTGTGTAATTTTTATTATTGTTAGCAACACACACACACATAGAGATGCATATAGAGATATGTACATAACATACATATATGTTTGGGGTTTTTTTTTGTGTGTGTGGTTTTCTTTTCTTTCTTTCTTCTTTTTTTTTGTGTACAAATTTTGAATAATATCTGTTTCTTCCAAGAGAATGTAAACTCCACAAGGGCAGGAACTATCTTGTTCAGTATTTTCTCTGTAGTCAACAAGACAACAAAATACATCTTGTTGTATAACTGAATCACCTGGGGAACTTCAAAAAAGTGCTCAGGCTCACTAGCCCCACGTGAAATCTGCTCAATTTCTCTTTTCTCCGAATCTCCCACTACCACAATTGAAAGGAGACAGAATAGTGTATCTGGTCTCATATTTTGTAAGTCACCCAAGGGATTCATCTGGATTCTTCTTTTCAAGCACAATTAAGTGGGTCTTTTTAAAGAGTTTTCCAAAACCTGGTATGGTGAAAAAAAACCATTTGCCTAAATGGGCCTGACTGCAATAGGGAGGTCCCTCAAGAGACACTGAAGTGCTGAAACCAGAAGGAGCCAATGTAGTTATCAGAGAAGAAATGATGTGCGTCTAAGTTAAGTCAAAGGCAGTGACAAGATTCAAGAGATCCGCAGGAGAAACGATCTGTAAGATTTGGTGACCATTTGAACATGGGTGGGGAAGAAGTGAGAAAGGAATTCAGGATAGAGGCTGTAGTGGCTGTATTAGGAAGTGGGGAGGAAAGGGTAGTTCACTTAAGTTGAGATGCCTGTGCCATCACATGAGGTGGAAGCGTCCAAGTTGGGAGCACAAATGAGTTCAAGAGAGAAGGGGCAGGACTGTCCTCTCTGCACGCCAATACCAAGAACTTTGAATCCTAATAGTTAAAGAGTTGGGCTAGAAAAAGAATCGCCAAGGAGACTGAGAATACTTGAAAGAAGGCAAGTGTATGCGTCACAGAAAACAGGTGAAAAAGAATGTACACGGTGTCGAATGGTGACTGAAGCTCAAATGAGAGTACTTGAACATAACTCCCACGAGGTGAGGCGGATTTTCCGAGAGGGTCTAAAGATGCAGTGCAGAGGAGGAAGAAGGTGAAACTGAGTTTCAACTACCTTTTCCAAGAATGTTGGTCCCGAAGCGATGGGGCGGGACGGTAAGATTGATGTGAGATTTAAACACGTTTCTAGTTGAGGAGGAAACACCCTCCCGCCCTGGCCATTTTGCCAGCCACTCTAATGTGACCAAGAAGCAGCCCGCATTACCGCCTAGAGGAGACTACAACCCCCAGAAGGCACCGCGGCGCGGGAGGGGCGGAGCCGAGGCCTGGCGCGCGCCCCAGCGGCGCGAGCGGAAGAGCTTGAGCTTCGAGGAGGCGGCGGAAGCGGTGAGGGACGGCGCCCCGGGTAACGAGCAGCCCCGTGTCCCTCTGTCTTCCTCTCTGCCTTCCTCCCTCAGCACCCCGAGGTGAGGCATGCTACTTCTGCTTCTGCCCCCACACTTGGGTCAAAACTTCCTTTGCCTTTTGTTGGTTACCGGTATTTTTTCCCTCACGTGATGCGCGGGGCGGGCCCCTGCCTGGGGCAGAGGTTACTGGGAAGCGCCCGCCCTTCGACCCCGCTGGCCCTGGATTGAGGGGACCTCCCTCGAGGCCCTTTTCCCTTCCCGGGGCTGCGTCAGCCTTGGGCCCTCGATCCAAGGACTCCCTGCAGAAGGGGTCGTTCTCCCCCGGTTTCAACAGGTACCGAGCCGCCCGGTGGCGACCCCTCCCCTTCCCGAGGGGTACGGGGCGGTGGGCGGCGGAGGCGGCTGCGCCTCGACCCGGGGGCTGCTGGCCCGTTCCGGGTCGCGAGCCTGTGGGATGAGCCCGCTCCGCTGCCCGGGAGCCGCGGGCTACGAGCTGTGGACGGCGCGCGCCGTCTGCTTGGAGGATGGACTTCCTGATTCTCACGGGCGCGCCGCGAAAACCCCGCGTCGGGCTCCCAAGTTCCCTTTAGCCATAAAGCTGCCTCTCGAAGTTTTGTAAAGGAAGAAGCACAGAATTTGGAGTCCGATGTCCTGGGCAGAGCCTGGGTTTGCTACTGGCCGGACTTGAGATCTTTTGTAGCCCCTTTACAGCAGCCTCGATTTCCCTGTCTGAAAAATGGGAGTAATAGCGTGTGACCTGCCTGTCTGCCAGGGCTGTTGTGGGTTTCCTTAGACGTGCTCGGTGTGAGGAGACATGTTTTAAATGGAACCTTACTATGCTGTCTCCAGCCAGGTCATTTGAAATTTAAGGCCACTTTCACGTCTTTATGAAGATCATAAACATGACTGTGAGTTAATAAATAAGGGAAAAGCGTCTTTGGAAATGAATGAGCCATATAGACGTCCTTGTGCTGTCGCTCTGGGGCCTGCCTTTGGGGCTGTACCTGTCACCTGTAGAGTCAGTTTTAAATTTCATCTGAGTTTTAAGGCCCACCAGAATTTGGAAACTTCCCTCTCCCCGACACACACACACACACCTGTCTAGGCCTTGTGCTGTATTAGGACTTGCCGGCAGCCCTTGGGTTCCTCAGCTAAGCCTCCAGCAAGTCTTAAGTCTCTTCCCCCTGTTCACATAACTAATGTGCTAAACCTAGTTCTGATTGTAGCAGTCCATTAAATGCTTTTATGCATACTGGCTGAAACATTCTTTTCACTGTCTTAGGTATATGAGATAAGATTCTATATTTTCTCAGAATTCAGAATGTAAGTAGTGTATTGTCTGTTTTCTCATTTCGCAGTTAAGCCTTGCAGGTGGTTTTTTGGTCTTATTTTCCACATTTTTGGGATTCAGAATTTTACAGCCAATTTTCAATGGGCTTGGAAGTGTAGTAATTAGATATTCTTAACTTCTATTTATTCTGAAATACTAGTTGAAAAAGATTTGAGGATGGTTCAGAAACTAAAATATATTAGTTGAATGTGCAAGTTTTAGTCCAAATCTTAGTACTATGACTTCTAGTTTTACTTTAGGAGAATTAGTTGACTTTTCTGAGCCTGTTTACTAATCTCTAAAATGGAGATAATAGCATTTATCTCACTGCACAAGACTTAAATGAAATGTGACTATGAAGAGCTTGGTTGAGCCTGGAGTGAATAAGTGCTCATTATTGTGCTGTTTTTGTAATTAAGTCAGACTTTTTAGACGTTTAAAAAGTGCAGCTGCCGGCCAGGTAGGGTCTGACTTGATGACTTTCAATTTTTGAAATGGAACTCTGTGACCATTGCTGATGGTGGCATTGGTGTGTGTGTATCTGTCAGGAGTGGGAGTCTAGAGAAACCAAAGAGAAAAATAGTTGTTCAAAGTAAAGTCTTAGGATTAAAATCAAAATCTTTGTTTTCTAATTCCTTCAAATTTCATGTTAACAACAAGATGTTTACAGATTCAGATATTTAGGAAATGCTTTCTTTGCTCTGTTTTTTGATATATTCTCTATGTTTTACCAATTTCATTTCTGATCTTTAGTTATGAATCAGTCAGATAATTAATTTTTTCACTATAGTCCAAAGCTGTAATAGAGGTCACTTCCATTACAAACTATTCTCTGTGTTATAATGAGTTATTTTTCCCTTTACATATACACACTTAGACTCGATTTTAGCTATGGGATCTAACCATGCACAATGGCTGCTCAATTAGTAAATAACTGCACTGAATTGTTCTGAATAGGAACATTTTGTTGGCTGTCCAGTGTCACTAAGACATACTCTGGAGAAGGCTGAGTTGAATTGCGGAAATGACCTAAGCTTTTGGAGTTTAAATGTAGTTTTCATTACTTACCAGGTTTGTAATTTTTGTTTCATATGATCAGGTTGATTTTTTTTTTATCAGTTATAAAACAAGGATAATAATACTAACCAGAATGACTGAAAAGAAGACTAGAAATTATTTGACGTAGGCACATAACTAGCCAGGTTTAATTAAGGTAGATGGTGTTGATGGTGTTATTATTTATATTTTTCTCAGTCATGGGTCTTGGTGGTACACTGTATTCATACTTTGCATGAAACGTGAAACGAAGGTTAAGGTTTTGGCTGTGACCATGGAACCCTAAAACACAGCAAAACTAATTGGCCAAGATGGAGTTTGAATCTATGACCCTGTCCTCATTAACTCTATGAGTTAACTATTCACAAAATATCTAAGTAGAATGAATGAAAAGACTGGTAGATTGTTGATTCAGTATTCATGCACTCATTAGCATGATAGAAGCAGATGAACTGGTGCCAGAAGTTCAAGTGTAGATTTTTAATCACAAATATAAACATAGATATATGTGTGTGTTTATAAAACTGTGACTGGCTGTTATACTGTGTATAAAATTGGCCACCTATTAGATGATCTTTGATAAGCACTAACCTGCACTATAACTTAGAACTTTCAGTTGTGGAATTACAGAGACTTACCACACTTGTAGAAATAGAGGTAGGCTAGTATGTCTTACAGGAGAATTCTCCTATGCCACCTACCAGAAAATGCGCTCTTAGCTAGTGGTGAAACATTTAGAGTCCTCCATTAATGAGCTCAGTGGAATGGATGAAGCTTGGGTTATTCCTAAGAGTTTATTGAATTACAGAAAAATTCCATTTGTCAGAGCTTTGATAGAAGAGAAGTTATAATGTGTTGCTTAGCAGCAGTAAGCCTGCATTTGGAGAGGATTTTCTCCTCTCAATAAAACATAGACAAGTTGCTCCCCTCTGTGTTGTGTATTTTTCACTGTCTTGTACCAGCCTTCTGTATAGTTTCCCATTTTCAGATTCACTCTTCATAATAATTGTCCCTCTTGTATTTTTTTTTTTAATGGCAAACATGGAGATTTTGGAGTAGGGGTAATAAAGCAAGCAGAGAAGTTCAGTTGGACACAGTAGGTTCTCGTGTGTAATATCATGAGGTTCTAAATTGTGAAAATGAGGGTGTAGATTACGCGAGTGGTTGACAATTCAAGATCATTTAACAGAGACAAAAATATGGACAAAAGTTTAGATTTGCATCTTAGAAAGTAATCTGATTGTATAATGTTCATATTGACTTATAATTGGTTTGTTTCAAGTTCTTTGCCTTGAATATCAGAATAGTGTTAAAGAAAGGAAACACTTGGTTTTAAATGCTAACCTCTCAGATTTATACCAGAAGTCCTAATTGTGTTCTTACCATCTGTAAATAGGAATAATTATAACAAATGCCACCTCTGTTTATTTACAAAGATTAGAGAGAAAAGTTAACAGGAATGTTTTGGAAATGGTATCAGTTGGGAGAGACTGACAGAAGGGCAGAGTTCAAGAGAGCACAGATTTGTATATACACACGTGCTTGAGGGAGTACCGGGGAGACAGACAAACAGCCAGAGTCAGACACAGGAAGCAGGGAATTGGGGTCAGTCAGAGACAGAAAGGAAGTTCAGAGTTAGAAACTCTTGAAGGGGATAATAGGCAGTTAGAGAAGGAAAGTAACCCCATATAGAAAGGACTGATTGAGAAATGAGACAGACAGATGGGGAGAATGTGTGAAGGAAGAACCAGGAGGGGCATGGCCAAAGATGGAGAATTTACTGAGCTTCTTTTTGTCTGTTATTTGAAGATATGTTGTAAATATTTATAACTAGCGAGGAAAGAAAACAAAAGCAGATATTAATAGTAAATCAAGTAACATGTTCGTGCATTTTTTATTATGCTAAAGTTTTCTTTTAAATATTAAATTTGCATAGATAGCATACAAACACGAAGCCAGCTTATGTTGTACAGACCAGTTACCTCTTACTTAAAACCACTTGTAGTGTAGTTTTAAAACACATTTAAATAAATGATTTTCTTTTTTAGAAATACTTTATTCTAAAATTTAATTCTAATCATAAACAAGTTGGAAAATACAGAAAATTAAAAAGAATGTAAAAAACCACTTATCTCACAATCTAGACAGCATAGAACAAGGTCCACATTTTAAATGTACCCCCTTACCCCAGTCTTTTTTTCTAGGCATATACTAAAGGCCTTTTATTTCTTTATTAAAGCTGTTTTTGGAATCCAAAATCTGTTTATAAGTTCAGAGTGATACTATAGATTAGCTAGTTATGGTGGAGTGAACTTCATTATACCTAGCTTGGCACTTAAATACTTTTGCATTCACCCCCTTCCTAGGTTAGAGCAGTTATCTACAGACTGTATGTTTAGTTTTGTGTCTTAGGCATCTTAAAATCACATCTTCAAGTATTTTAAATATGTCTATTTGTGAAATGAATCATTAAATTGTAAGGTGCAAGGAGGTTAAGCACCAGCACTATGAAGCAGTCTGCAGCCACTGCAGCATGTGTTTGCTCCCCAGCCAGGCAGGTGACCCACATGGCGCAGCAGACCTCTCCTGTCATGCCTGCTGCTCCCCTTAGCATTATATTTCAGTCAATCCTGTTATGCTCCCCACTCTGTTCCTGGTGAATCCTCTCACCCCC